TGCCTTGCTTCTTTGTATTTGAATTCAAGTTTTCTTCCAGCTTTACGTTGATAACTCTGACCATCTCTGCCAACAAACGCATCACCTAACCCTGCTTCTTGGTGAGAGCAGTGTGCTTAATGTGATTTCCCAAACTTATAAGTTTTTTGGGGGGTTGTCTGAGCAGAGATCCTCCTTCCATGTGCTTGCTGCCCCTTACATGGTGAAAACTTTAAATAGGACTTTTTTTTTCTTTACATAGAGTGAACATCTATCTATTACCAGCTCCTGTTAGTGTATGTGGACAGCTATGTTTGGAATTAGGTTTGAGGTTGTGTGATACTTTCCCCATTGAATGATGGATGAAAATGTGCAATATGAGTTGTTTAAAGTCTAGGATAATGCTTCATAACCTCACACTCTTCGCCTTAATCCAACACCTGACCTCTGCTGTGTTACTTGGTATTTATGATGTAGTTTTCTTAGTTTTTATTGTAACAAATTGGGTTTTTAGGAGGACTCTCTTGGAATTCTAGTGATTTGAGTTTAGCAGAATTTATTTTGGACTTTTGGGATTTTTGGCTGAATGCATTTCTTTGAAAATGAAATGGAAGACCACTAGGCATTTGCTTTTTGATTTATAGCTTTCTACTACTTTGTGTCGATCTCTCACTTAGAAACCCAATAAAATTAGATGAATTTTTTCTTAAACTTTAAAAATATAGAAAAAACAAGTTGTTTTGTTTTTCAAATATAACAGGCAAGTTTTTCCCCAAAATCTGTAAGCTTAGAGGCAGAGGGCTACTCTTCTTTACAATAAAAATCCAAAATGGTTTAATGCACTCCACAATGTTGTCATTTCCATATTCCCCAGGATAAAATATGCTCTTGAACATGAAGGAAAAGCACAAGACGAAAATTATTCCTTGAGCTTTCCATCAAGCCTCTGCATTCATTGCAAAGTCGAAAGGGCATGTCAGTCTCTGCCTCTGAGAGAGATAATTATCCTTTTCCTGTCAGAGAACAACAAATGATAGCCAACTATGGGGGTGCATTTTCAGAAGCCGAAATTCATCAATAGGAAGAAGAAGAAGGAGGTTTAATTTTGTGGCAGCTGCACATCTACCTTTATCCCGTTTTTGCAGCCATTTGTGCCCCCTCCTCTCTCTCTCTTCTTGTGGACTAGCTCAGTGGCTTGCTGTTTGTTTATGTCTGCAAGCTTCTGAGGGTGTATTTATGTGGCCCTGCATTAACATACCTATTTATAGTCCTTCACTTTCTTACAGTCATCTTTTTTTTTGTTGTGACCATTTCACAGATTATATATTGTCCAAGTAATTTCCCTTTCAGCATCTGTGTTTTTTACCTTTCAGAGAAGGCAGTGAATGGAGGGAAAATTATCACAATTACTCATATAATTGAGCCGTCTTTGTAGCAAGTGCGGCTCCAGTAGCCCCCTTTTTTCCATCAGCCCAAAATGGTTTCATTATATGGGTTTTTCATATTCCCTGACACGGGGCTCCGCTGAGGGCCTGGCGCGTGGATGAGATGCAGGATGAACAGAGCGAATCATTAAGGTCACAGTAGGAATAATTATCCCAGCTATGGAAAGAGCATCTACAGCCCCCTTTTTTTCTCCCGCGGCACAAATGCAATGTCCACGGCTTTTAGTCACAAAGAACTTTGTTACAAATGGAGCTTCCACCTTCTACTTATACAAAGAAGAGAGGGGGAGAGCAAGACTTGTATCAACATGACAATTTTCCATCATTAAGACTAATGACAGGCACAGACTGTGGGGATCAAGGGGAGCACAAAAAAAGAGAGCTGCATTCAGGTGTTGGCTGAGTGCTGACCTCCTTCCTGTCTTTGTTGGAGACTTAACTCTTAACAGAAAGAAAAAACTAAAAAGGGTTTCAGACTAAAGGCGCAGTGGCAGCTGAACGTCAAGCAGCCGCGCTCTCCATGGGCAAATGACTTAATTGCCAAATTTGCATGTTTTCCATTTGCTGGGAAATTAATTCAATAAGGCCTACATGTAAAGATGTTTAATCAATCATTGTTTTGGTGGAATAATTCCCCCGGCTCACATTATTCCAGCAGTTACGTCACTCTACCAAATGTTTGCCTTGTTTCTCACCTCTCTATAAATTCATTTCCTGATCCGAGACACAGATCTTCCCTCTAACAGGTGGGATGCTGCGACATGCAGCAAGTATAAGGCATTGTCGTGACACTAGTTTCTTTTACAGTTAAGCTGAATTAAGTAAAAGCCATGTTTTCCAAGTCTTTTCTCCTCTGCCTTCACTCAGGTAATTGGTCATTTTGCAGCCAATTTTGGGCAGCTTGGGTGCTTGCTGCCATGGCCTGACCCCTGCTGCTGCCGTAATGGGGACAGCATTTCTACCAGTTCACCGGGGGCTTTTTCCACACGGTGACCCCCATGCCTACTGGGGAGGAAAGCGCCACTGAACGCTGAAATGGAAGAGGAAAAAAAAATGTGGAGGGGGATTCTGAAAAGTGACTTTGAAGTTTTACCATGATGTCTGTGGCTCTTTTCTGAGTTCATCAGGAGGGTTATAGGGGGTAATTTGAGTTTGCAAAATAGGGATATGGCTGAGATAGATGATGCAAGAAAACACAGGATTCATAATGTTATTTGCATAAAAATAATCCAGAAATATATGTGCACAAAAAATGACTCTACTTTATCTGCCATCACATAGGTGTATTTCTTAAACAATTTGATCTTGAGAAATGCAAGTCCATTCGGATTGATTTGAAGCAGGAACTTGGTGTCATCAGTACCTAAAAAGAAAGAAACATACTATTAATAAGTTGCACATCTAGATTTAAGTTTCTATTTTGTTTAATTTTTTTACATAATAGGAAGACATTTCTGGAAAATCCACTTTTACTTTCATTTTTATTAAAATAAAATCCCATCATATGAATCTCAATGTGACTATATGACTGGATTATTAAGGAGTGATGTAAGTTAATGGTTTTACTCAAATGCATATTAAATTATTAGCCTTGAAACAACAGCTGTTGTACTTATATATTAAATTGTGTTAGAAATAACTTGAGGGTAATTTACTTAATTTTAGCTCTTATAAAGAAAATAATGATTTACATATTGATTTTTGTGTTAATGTAGTTTTTCTTTATTTTTATTTTTCATTTTATGTTCACTACAATAAGAAAGAAAATTAGATACATAAATAATCTTGAATTGATATATATAGAAATAGCTTCAAACCTTTAAAATGTAAGATTTTTTTTATTATCAACACGTCCAGGATTCATCATTAAAATATTCTAAACTAATCAAAATGTTAAATCTGTTAAATGAGAGGAAAACAAAAGATTTAGATAAAGATGAATCCAATCATCCATTTGACCTCTGTGATAGGGCATCATCTTTACCAGTGCAACCGTCTCGTTGTTCACATACTATTATTCATTTTTTCCCCCCGATGTTTACGCATAACTCAGCAAACAAAATCAATCCAAATTTTGACGCAGCATTGAACGTGAAAATAGACCCAGAATCGAGTTAATTGTGCTGCATCTATCTTGCCATAACTGACGGCCCCAAATTACAGGATGGCGAGAGAAGCAACGGCGGAGACGGTGCAGAACAAAAGCCAATTTTCAATTCTTTGATTGGCTGCATAAAACCGCCCTCCCCCTCCACCCCACCCCAAAGAATAAAAAAATTAAACATAATAAATACATACATTAATGTAAATGTAAAATGTATTGCTACTGTCCGTACTGGACCCAGAAATATATTTATATTTGTATTATTTATGTGAGCTTTTTTAAAAAATGTAAGCTGATTAAAACTCATTTTCCTGAAAACGTAAAAAAATATAATCTAATTAACGGATTTCTTATTTCCTAAAAAAAAAAAATTAAACAAAAAGGTAATGCTCATATCTAATCTTCATGTATTGCTCTTCACTTGCAGTGAAAGTAATTAATTGTTGCTTAGACTGAGGCGCTGCAAAGCTGCGCCTTTTACGCACCAGAGTGCCTCTGTTCTCTATCACCCCGCGGTCCTGGATAACATTTACTGGCTCCGATAAATAGGCATCTGAGGAGGGCCTGCTATCACCGGACTGAAATAAAGTCGGTGACATGTTGGCCCGTTTAGCCCCGCCACCTCTCCCCTCCTCATCCCGCACCCCCTCTCCGCGCCTGTCTCTCCACCTCTGCACTAACCCCTCAGGTGAAGAGCAGCAGGTGTTAAAACACCCTCAGCCACAGAGCTACTCACTCCTAATGAGTCCTGCCTCCGCTCTCCATCCATCCATGCATGGAGGACTTTATTTTTAGTGCGGCTAGTTAAGAGTCCCGCTGCAGGAAGCGCTGCTGTGGCCTGCTCTGCCCTCCTGCCTGCGAGTCAAATTATTAATGACAGTGTGGTAATATTATCACATGTCTGTTTCATCCTAATGGCGCAGAGGAGGCTTGAGAAAACCCATCTGGTATTAGATTATTACTTTGGGTTACTGGAAACATTTTGCAAAAAAAAAAAAAAAAAATTAAATAAGTGTTTTCTACCTCCAAATTGAATCGCGTAAACATCTCTCATTTAGTAGTGCACTTCTGCTATTATTTTACATGTTTCCTCCAAATTCCGCCTCAATTCTGCTAATGGTTTTGCTCACAGCCCTCTGTAGATACTATAATCGTGGGAAAAATAATGACAGTTATCAGTCGCACCCACCAAGTACCCATAAAAAATCTGTCCTCTGTTCTGGAAGATGATAATTATCGGTTGTACCACCATTATCATTGTCGTTGTTGATGGAGGAAATCTTGAGGCATTTTTCGAAAGTAATTCCAGGAGAAATCACTTCAAATTGGCCTATTTTAAGAGAGAGGGGGGACAAGGGGACCAAGCTTCGTTATAGCCTATATTTCACAGAAATCTTTAAATCCAAGCATCCGAAAGCCGCCTGGCACATTGTGGCACACACACACGCGCGCACGTGTTCTGATGTCAGCGCCTGCATTTTTTTGATAACACATTCTGCAACTTACTCATTCTGTTTGCGGTTCAATTATGCAATTACTCTGATAATCGCAGTGAGGGAATTTAACCGCCTTTAATTTGTTATTCAGGTGGAGATGATGGAGGGACCGCGGATAGAGGAGCGGGGCTGCGCCTCTACTGCGCAGCGACTGCGGCAGAGGAGCTGCGGTCTGCAGATTAATGCAGAGGAAAATAGAGGTCTGCTGGAGACTTTCCTCTGCTTTCATCCTAAGGAGGATCCCTGACCTCGGATGGCTCACATCTGTCTGCTTCTTCTCCGTCACGTGATCATTTACAACCAAAGTAAGTGTGCGTCCTCAGACTTAAGCTGATTAACACCAGGGGCGTTCCTAGACATAAAGCCATATTGAGCAGTCTCAATTTCTTAGAAATTTATTTATTTATATACATGTACCCTAAAGGTATTGATACCCATGAGATATCTAGGCTCAAATTCATTTCTGAATTTCACCAATAATGTATTAAACATGTTGGGCTGGCCCTATAGACCTGGGTAGGATAAAGAATCCGTGGAGAAAGAAATAGATTAGGGTGATGGAAAGGAGGCCTTCCAACTTACTGTGCAAACCGTTATGATATGGTTTTGATTCCTGAAATCTGTAAATAACATTTTTTACTTGATCAGTTAGAAGAGTGTT